TTTGGTAAGGAATTGTATTATATAGTGTATATAAATAGGGTTCTCTATGTAATTATTAGAACAACAATTCAATAATATTTTTCCCATATATTTCTCAATATATTTCTCACATGGTATCAGAGAATTGGTGAGAAACTTACCCAAAAATAAATAAATATATATATATATATATATATATATTTTTTTTTTTTTTAAAAAGTCCGAATCCGGTGACTGTCAACGGCTGGTTTGCATTGTTGTCTTGTTTTACAAGTGTAGTGCGACAACCCACACCACCCCGAGGTGCGGAACACTCAGGCGAGCAAACCCCAGTGAGCTCCTCTGAGTTTCACCGAGTCACGTGCCCTCACGCGTCGCCAGGAGTTCCAGGGTCGCGTCACCACGCGCATCAGGTGCCGGCGCGTGCGACACTTTCCGGCCAGTTTTTTTGACCATTTTTTTTCATTGAGGTCGCCTCTCCATTCCGAGGCAGACTGTATATTTATTTTCTTATTCCGACCAGTTCCGGGCAGTCAGACCTAATTTCCGACGCCTGCACCCTTTTTTTCCAAATTCTGACCAGCCTTATTTTTTATTTTTTCCTCTCTCTGAATTCATAATATGTCTTTAGGGATTGATATTTTTTGGCTCCAAGAATATAGGTAGTTCAAATGCTATGATCACTTCAGAACCATTAATTGGAGCTCAAACTATTTATCTTGGGCTTCCTTGGTTGAGTTATGGTGCAAGGGGCAAGGCGTTCATAATCACTTAACCAACAATACTTGTGTGGTAGATGAAAAGGCAAAGGCTAGTGAGAGAGATAATAACGTCAAAACACAATGGGAGAAGGTTGATGCTCAATTATGTAGTCTCCTATGGCGATCTATTGATTCCAAGTTGATGCCCTTGTTTCGCTCATCCCAAACATGTTATTCAGTTTGGGAAAAGGCTTGTGCTTTATATACTAATGATATCGCGATTCTATGATGTGATATCTAGAATGACTAGCTTAAAGAAACAACAATCCGATATGTCTACTTACTTGGGTCAGGTACAATCAGTCATGGAGGAATTTGACACGTTGATGCCAATCACTACAAATGTGGACAAACAACAAGAACACAGACAGACGTTGTTTCTAGTTCTTACACTTGCTGGACTCTCTACTGACCATGATTCAATGCGTGATCAGATTTTAGCTAGTCCTACAATTCCTACAGTTGATGAATTATTCTCTCGTCTACTTCGTATTGCCGCGCCTCCCAGCCACAAAGTAGTTTCATCACCGACCCTTGATTCATCTGCTCTCGCATCTCAAACCATAGAAAAACGGGTATATCAAATCTATGGAGAATCGACGAGGAGGAGGTCGTCTTGGAAAACCTCGATCCAAGTGTAGTTATTGTCATTAGTCTGGACACACTCGTGACATATGTCATAATTTGCATGATCCACCACCCAGTTGTGATCCTGCTACTCTAAAGGAATATAATGAGTTCCTTCGTAATCGTGCAAGTAAGCATACATCTTCACAAGAAGCATTTGTTGCTCCGCCTGATCGACCATCCCATAATGCTCATATTGCTCAATCAGAATATGATGAGTTCCTTCAATATCGAGCAAGTAAACAAAAGTCTCCACAAGTAGCTTCGGTTGTTCAACATGATGTTGCTGTTGCGGGTAATTCTTTTGCTTGTGTTTCACAGTCTAATACTCATGGATCATGGGTCATGGACTCGGGCGCTTCTGATCATGTTTCTGGTAACAAATCACTTATGTCAGATATTGTTTATTCACAATCTCTTCCTGCTATTACTTGGCCAATGGGATACAAACAAAACCAAAAGGGTTGGAAAAGCCATACCCTATACTTCTGTCACTCTAGACTCTGTTCTTTATGTCCATGGTTCCCCTTTTAATCTGGCATCTGTTAGTCGTTTGACACGTGCCCTTCATTGTGGCATAACCTTTTTTGATGATTTTTTCTCATGCAGGACCGCAGTACGGGACAGACGATTGACACAGGACATGAATCACAAGGCCTTTACTATCTTACCTCTTCAAATTCCTTCACAACATGCTCTTTTACAGATCCTCCGGACCTCATTCACAAACGTTTCGGGACATTCGAGTCTATCTAAACTGCAACAGATGGTGCCTAGTTTATCTAGTTTGTCCAAATTAGATTGTGAGTCGTGTCAACTTGGGAAACACACTCGTGCCACATTTTCACGTGGTACTGAGGGTCGTTTGGAGTCTATTTTTTCATTAGTTCATTCTGATGTTTGGGGGCCTAGTAGAGTCAGTTCCACCTTAGGATTTCGTTATTTTGTTAGTTTCATTGATGATTATTCGAGATGTACTTGGGTTTTCTTAATGAAAGATCGTTTTGAGTTATTTTCTATATTCAAAAGTTTCTTTGCTGAAATAAAAAATTAGTTTGGTGTTTCTATTCATACTTTCGTAGTGATAATGCCTTAGAATACTTATCATCCCAGTTTTAGTAGTTTATGTCTCACCAAGGAATTATTCACCAAACATCTTGTCCATACACTCCTCAACAAAATGGTGTAGCGGAAAGAAAGAATAGGCATCTCATTGAGATTGCTCGCACTCTCCTCATTGAATCCCATGTTCCGCTGCGTTTTTGGGGTGATGCAGTCCTTTCATCTTGTTATTTAATTAATAAAATGCCCTCATCTTCTATTTCGAATTAGGTTCCACATTCCGTACTATATCCTCAGTCACATCTCTATTCTATCCCTCCTCGTGTATTTGGGAGCACATGCTTTGTTCATAACTTAGCCCCAGGAAAAGATAAATTAACCCCTCCTGCTCTTAAATGTGTCTTTCTTGGTTACTCTCGAGTTCAAAAAGGGTATCGTTGCTATTCACATGATCTCCGCCGATATTTTATGTCTGCCGATGTAACATTCTTTGAATCTCAACCTTACTACACATCTTCTGATCATCCTAATATCTCTGAGGTCTTACCCATACCTCAGGTCTTGCTTGTACCGACTTTTGAGGGACCTACGGTATCTTCTCCATCTCCAGTTATAGTGCCACCACTCCTAACTTATCATCGACGTCCACGTCCAGCAATAGTCTCAAATGATTCATGTCATGCGCCAGACCTTGCTCCCACTGCGGCCTTGCCTCCTGCTAGTCAATCGATTGTACTTCAAAAAGGTATACGATCTACTCGAAATACTAATCCCCATTATACTTTCTTGAGTTATCATCGTTTATCTTCACCCCATTATGCCTTTGTATCATCTTTGTCCTCTATTTCCATCCCTAAGACTACAGGAGAAGCACTTTCTCATTCTGGATGGAGGCAGGCTATGATTGATGAGATGTCTGCTTTACATTCGAGTGGTACTTGGGAGCTTGTCTCCCTTCCTACAGGTAAGTCTACTGTTGGTTGTCGTTGGGTTTATGCGGTCAAAATTGGTCCAGATGGTCAAGTCGATCGGCTTAAGGCTCGCCTTGTTGCTAAAGGGTATGCTCAGATATTTGGGCTAGATTATAGTGACACTTTCGCTTCGGTGGCCAAAATAGCATCAGCCCGTCTTTTTCTATCTATGGCTGCCGTTCGTCATTGGCCTCTTCATCAGTTGGACATTAAGAATGCTTTTCTGCATGGTGATCTTGAGGAAGAAGTTTATATGGAGCAACCACCTGGTTCTGTTGCTCAGGGGGAGTCTAGAAGCCTTGTATGTCGATTGCGTCCGTCACTATATGGTCTGAGACAGTCTCCTCGAGTATGGTTTGGAAAGTTCAGCACAGTAATTCAGGAGTTTGGCATGACTCGTAGTGGCGCTGATCACTTTGTGTTTTATCGGCATTCAGCACCAAATCTGTGTATTTATTTGGTTGTTTACATTGATGATATCGTTATCACCGGCAAATATCAAGTTGGTATCGCTAATTTGAAGCATCATCTCTTTTAGCATTTCCAAACTAAAGACCTCGGCAGATTGAAGTATTTTCTTGGTATTGAGGTTGCTCAGTCTAGATCAGGTATTGTTATTTCTCAACGCAAGTATGCTTTAGACATTCTTGAGGAGACAGGAATGATGGGATGTAAGCTCATTGACACTCCTATGGATTCGAATGTTAAACTCCTTCCAGGACAGGGGGAGCAACTCAGTAATCCTGAAAGGTATAGACGGTTGGTTGGAAAGTTGAATTACCTAACTGTGACTAGATCGGACATCTCTTTTCCTGTGAGTGTTGTAAGTCAGTTTATGACTTCTCTTTGTGATAGTCATTGGGATACAGTTGTTCGTATAGTCAGCTCCTGGTAAAGGACTACTCTTCGAGGATCAAGGCCATGAGCATGTCACCGGATATATAGACGCTGATTGGGCAGGATCACCCTTTGATAGACATTCTACATCCGGATATTGTGTTTTAGTTGGAGGTAATTTGGTGTCATGGAAGAGTAAGAAACAAAGTGTGGTTGCTCGATCCAGTGCAGAAGCAGAATATCGAGCAATGGCTGTAGCAACTTGTGAGCTAGTTTGGATCAAACAGTTGCTTGGAGAACTGAAGTTTGGAGAAACAGGTCATATGGAACTTGTGTGTGATAGTCAAGCGGCCCTTCATATCATCACATCAAATCCAGTGTTTCATGAGAGGACTAAGCACATTGAGATTGATTGTCACTTTGTAAGAGAAAAGATACTCTCAGGAGATATTGTTACCAAATTTGTGAAGTCAAATGATCAACTTGCAGATATCTTCACCAAATCCCTTACCGGTCCTCGTATTAATTACATTTGTAACAAGCTAGATACATATATTAGTGACCATTATTTTAGAAAGAACTTGATCAGATACTTTGTTGCTCCATTATTTACAATTCACCTAGCTTGTTATCCTTACGCTTCACGAAGATATATTTTATTGTTTTATCAGAGCAGAGAAGACTTCAATTCTATCTGATCTAATCAGGAAAACAAATTCTCAAGAAATGAAATGGATTATAATGATAATTCTCAAAGGTTTGATATTTTTTTTGCCAATGCATAAACTCTAGGATCTCCTTCCATGGCCAATGATGTCAATTTGCCACTGATTTTGTATCATTTAGATCTGAAGTTGGGAATTAGTGAAAAGAGCATCTTTGACGAATTCCATCCAGATGCAGAGGACTTGTTCAATGTCACATGCGATTTTAAAACTAGTTTGTGAAAAGTTGGGGGACAAAAGTCAACGGCATAAACGCCAGGTTTGCTTCCAGTTCTCATATTGAACCTTATGACATACTTCTTATCGTGACTTGGTACTTTTGGTAGAGATATTGGATCTTCCACCAATTGATTTTAAAGTAAATTTTAAGATCTCATCTTTTTTACCTTGGTGACTAAGGTACATCTTGGCCTACAATTTGGTAGATATTTGTTCATTGCTTGCATTTGGCAACACTTCCTATAGTAACTTCTTGTCCAAGAGATGAGCAAATGCTTTATTTCCTTAATGAAGTGCTTCTGCTGATGGTCTGCTGTTCTAAGTTTGTCTCTCGTTTCCTTCACTGGTCGATCGGCCCATTTTTTTTTAAATCTTGATTTAAAAAGTCGCAGATAAGTGATTCATTTTTGGGAAGAAAGGATAAGATGACAGGTTTTGTGAAGTGTTTAAAGCTTTGTCTCAAGCAATGATTAATTGATTTTCCTGGAGAAAACGCCACAAATGGTCTGTAGGTTTAAAATAGTTGCTTAACTATACACTTACCAGATTTAGTCCTTTAACTATCCCAAATCTTATCAGGTTTGGTCCCCTAACTATACACTTACCGGTTTTAGTCCTTTAAATATTCAAAAACTTATCATGTTTGTTTTCTATCTATTTTTTATACAAATAGCTTATGTTTATATTAACGTAATCCATGCCTCCATGAAAGTAAATTCTTAACCCATTTTTTAGTTGTTTTTCTTTCCCTGCTACTTTTTTTTTCAAATTATTCTTATGAAAACAGCCTTAACCTCAACAATTCAAAATAAAATTTACAGAAAAGTAAATGTATATCCTAATTTTATTCAGTGAACAATAAAATGAAACTGTCACGACCCAAATTAGGTCCGTGACCAGCGCTAAGGGGAAAGAATCCCAAAGCTAGCCTTTAACATAAATCTATAGAAAATCGGGCAGAGTCTCCTTTGTGTTTAGGCCTATCCTGCATTTTCCCTGTCTCAGAAACCCACCACACAAATAATAACAACTATAAACCAAAACATAATGTCCATTGATGATCTAATTGTCACGCAATAATACCAATTTCATCTCCCAATACAAAAAAAAGAAGTTCAAAACTAGTCACTTGACTATGATACAAAGGAATAATCATGACTCAAATAAAAGAATGACAAATGGAGCGACTCTAAGAGTTTTTAAAGAACAAAATAAATCATAGCAATTCCAATACTTCTCTTGCCACGCGAAGCAATGCGAGGCTCACTAGATACTATCAATCCACACTCTCTAATTAATGAAGTCTTCTCCAATGTTACCTGAGTTCTCGCTAAAAACATTTAGCGAGGAGTGAGACGCTAGCTCAGTGAGTAGTAACACTTAACCACAACCATTTTAATGAGGGACAAGTCAGAAAATATGCTAGTATAATAATCAAATGATGAAATCAGTACCCTTTCAGAAACGGTAACAATATTCAATCTTATTTGTCTCGTGTATGCAAAATCAATGTAAACTTTTAGAAATAAACTCAGAAAAACAGTTTCATATCAATCTTATAGCTGGGAGGTTTCCAAGGATGAATCATGTAATCAGTGTGGCCTTTTCTTTAAGAAGTAACCAATAACAGTGAACTCATAAATGAGTTAAATATTCAAATCAGTAGATCCCTACTGGAGGGAAATCAGTAATAGTATGCTAGTTCTACCTTCCCACTAGCAAGGGCTTTATCAGTACGAGATTCATCAAGGTCTACTCCCATTTATACTTTTCTTGTAATCAGTAGAAGCATTTCAAAATCGAACAGAGCATTTAAATCTTATCCAATCATATTATTTCAAAGTTTAACAATCACATGTCAAAATACTATTTCTCAAATAAGTGTAAAGCCTTTTCAATAACCGTAATCATATCTTGTAAGAATGAGATCATCTCAAATAATCCTTTCAGTACCATATCAAGTAAAAAACTTGTCCCACATGCAAGTTCAAAACATTCGGTAACACATTTACTTTATAAACCATGTGAAAATCATGAAAGTTATAAAACATCAATTGTGGTAAGATTACTACTCACAGTACTCCTGTTGAATTACCAAGCTTGCCACTGGAGTACTCATACGAGTTCCTTTGGTCAATCTAAAATCACATTCATATATATCTCGAGTTAGTTTCCTCATTACATCTAATCTATAGACTAAGATAAATATCTCCAACCCTTTTGGACTTTCTGATTGTTCATCAACTTACTATATTCTAATTATTCAGGATGCTTAATCTCCTAATTTCAGCCAATTTACATTACTTATTATTCATCTACCTTTGTCTCCAAATTACACCTTACTGTCCAAATTAATGCCTCGTTATAAAATTACAGCAGATTATCTAGATTAAGAGTCTCTCATGGCGAAGCTACTAAGGATCATGGTAAAATCGTACAGGAAGGGAAAGATTTACCCCAAATCCATAAGGAATATATATATAACTAAGGGATGAAATAGTACCTCAAAATTTTGGCTTAGTCAGGTTGGGTTTTCTTCTCCGTAAGTTACAATAAGTACTTGTTGCTTGTTATCGCTGAACTACGCTAGTTAGCCACGGTGTTTCCCTCTCCAGATTCTTCCTTTTCTTTTTCTTTTCTTAGTTGCAGCGTTGCTGCTGCTTCTGTTAGGGCTTTTTGCCCCTTTTTTTTGTAATAAGGAGCTAAATGACATATATGCTCTTACTTAATATAGGGTATTACAGAAACATAATGTTGCATATAGGGTATTACAGAAACATAATGTTGCTAATACTTGAATATGCTCAAATTTATTATAAAAAGAAAAAAGTTATAATCCGTTAGATGTGGCAATAGATTTATCGGAAAAGGCTCAAACATACCCCTAAACTATTGGAAACAGCTCACATTTACCCTTAAACTATATTCCGGCTCAAAACTACCCTTCTCGTCAAAGTATTGGGTCACACTTACCCTTCTAGTTAACAGAAGTATGTTAAGTGCCACGTGGACGCCACATGGACGCCACATAAGCACCAAACAACTCCCACCTCCACATAGACTAATAAGATCCCTAATTACTAATTTTCCCCCCATTTCTCTTAACATACAATTTCACCCATTTCTCATTAATAGTTTTCCCCTCTATTTCTCTTAACATACAATTCTTGCATAATGCATTACCTCCTTTCTCTCTTAAGTGAAACTTAAGCACATTGAAACAAAATTGTTACCAACCATAACTGAAAAGGCATTAGACTTTTTGCAACTGAACAAAATCGGAAAACATGTTTTTAACCATGTTTACAGGCTACAGATGTGAAAAATCATACTGGAATTTATGCTGGAGAGTTTTCAAGACTCTAAATTACAGGGGAAAATAACTCAATAGACCATGGAGATATGATGATTCTCTGACTGCGAGAGAGTTGGGGAAGAGGGAGAGGTTGATGAGGCAGTTCTGCATAGCTCCTTGGCAGTGTGACAAACTAAAAGGGCTCTGAAATCCAAATAGCTCAGACTATTTCCATAGATTACATTACAACGCCATTTTGCTTGTATTTTCTCTTGATACACTTGCATAACTCAAGAGTTCTACTTTGGTGTGCAAATTACAGCAAAATCCTCCATATGTGACTGCCCTAGTACAGTCTGGGCAGTAGGTAATCTGCATACAAAAATTATCCATCTGGTTTTAGAGTTCATCATTGTAGATTGAGCTTAACAAGAGGGAGGGGGCATTTCTGTCGCAATAAGATACAATGACAGGAAATTCATATCCATATTGACAAAAGCAAGATGACCGGTAACGAGGTCATGCTTTGAGCAGTCATCTTTCAGGAACTACTAAACATTGAAAATGCTATAATAGAGAACTGAATATATGTTCACACAATAAAGGGTCAAAACTTTTAGAAATAGCCTTTTCAGTTATGGTTGATAACAATTTTGTTTCAATGTGCTTAAGTTTCACTTAAGAGAGAAAGGAGGTAATGCATTATGCAAGAATTGTATGTTAAGAGAAATGAAGGGAAAATTATTATTGGGAAATGGGTGAAATTGTATGTTAAGAGAAATGAGGGGAAAATTAGTAATTAGGGATCTTATTAGTCTATGTGGAGGTGAGAGTTTGGTGCTTATGTGGCGTCCATGTGGCACTTAACATACTTCTGTAACTAGAAGGGTAAGTGTGACCCAATACTTTGACGGAAAGGGTAGTTTTGAGCCGGAATATAGTTTAAGGGTAAATGTGAGCTATTTCCGATAGTTTAGGGGTATTTTTGTGCCTTTTCCGTAGATTTATTTATATCTAATGAAAACAAATTAATTGCAATGAGAATAAATTAAAAGTTCTTTACTCACATGATTTGATACCAAAATTGGTACCCCAATGACTTTATTAAAGGACTAAATTAGGGACCAAACCTGATAACATTTTGGATAGTTAAAGGCCTAAATCCGGTAAATGTATAGTTAAGGGACCGAACCTGATAATATTTCTGATAATTAAAGGATTAAATTCGACAAGTGTATAGTTAAGGAACTATTTTAGACCTACTCCAATAGTCCAGGGACCATTTATGGCATTTTCTTTCTTGTGTGCATATTAAGATTTAGATTTCACCATCAGCAACTTGACACTTGGTTGAAGGCCTCAGAATTTCTAAAGTAGGTGATCTTTGTATCTTTTACCTTAGTTCAATGTTTACAAATTAACATTTTTCGATCATGATTGATTCTGCAAGCATGTTCCTTCAACTAGTGATGTAGATTGTTGATAGGAACAAGGATAGGATTAACAACAAAATAGAAAGCATATAACGAGAATTTAGAGAAGAACCAACTTTAGTGCATAAAGTAGAATATTTATTTAAGATTATTTAATCTCTAAGAATACCTCAAGTAGAAGAATTCTACTTATGAACACACTTTCACAAGTTGAAAAGCAATAACTAGAAATGAAGGAATTGTTTTGAAAGATTTAAATTCAAAATGGGAACCAAGTGATCGGAGTGGAAAATGGCTAAAATTGAAGCCTGATTATGTTTGACATGGCTCTGATTTGGATGTTCTTATCATCGGTGTACTGCTTATCTAAGGTTTCTGTTTGTCTTTTGTGCCAAGTAACCTCTTGGGCTAACTTTACATCATCAACAAGAGGCTACTGTGGTTCTGGGCGACATGGAGGAGAGGTGGAAGATTCCACCTGCTAGTTAGGAGCTGTTTTTGTTTTTTTTTTCTTTTTTCTCAATTCGTTTTTCAAAACAGCATTTGATTATGCCTTGGACTGATTTTCTCAAGTTTGAGAAAGTGGTATTGGCCAGTTTTTCAAGTGAAAAATCTTTTCCACTCGCAAAATTTCCACTCTTTATCAAGTTAGCATGTCCTCGGGTTTTCAGTAATACTCAATTGAATTAGTGTGAAAACACCCCTGAGCCCTCGGGTTTTCAACCCGACCATCCCAACAAGTCCCAAATGGTTATACAAACTTATTCAAAGCTTCAAAACGCAATTTCAACCATAAAATGCTCAAGATCAGGGGTCAGGTTGTTACAATTCTTTAGGTTGATGCATATCTTTTTTGACGAGGTCTGGGAGCATGTTCACTGGTTTTTATTTCATTTTCTTTGTTTAATGTCAGTTTTCAATTCATCTTTTTTTTTCTTTTACATGTCAATTTTGACACTTAGTTCCGATATTGTAAATTTCACTCTTATTTGGTTGTTTGATAAAGTTTTACACATTTTCCATGTCAACCTTGAATCAGTGATCATGCCCATATGAATATAGATCGCTTTATCATTATCCACGTAGTGTTTTACTCGCTCATTTCAAAAGAGTTGTGGAATCTTTGTGTTCTGCACTCTCCTGCTAAGTGTTGTGTCTTCCTGCTGCAATTATTCTTTGATTGTAGGAAAGGGGCTTTCATTTATGTAGAGTACTATGAGATGTCTTTGAACGTAGCATGGAAAGCTTCATATCTATATCTGAATTCATTCTCTGAAGTAATTCAATATGGTTATGAGTCTTTTCAGTTTTCAATGCCTTTTAACACATAGTAAAAAGAATGAGAATTATGTGGATTTAGGATGACTGATGTGTATTTCCAATACTTAAGACTCGAATTCTGATTTTAGTGTATATTTTTGCAGGTTCATTTCTTTTTGCAGAGTGCGCACTGGAGTTTCTGATGAGGAAATGCAATACCATAGTAACTCCATAAAAGCCCTATTTTTGCAGGCAATATTTCTGTTGATGTAGCTTGAGTTGGGACACTGTTTACTGTTGTACCTTTTATTCTTGCACTGTTAAGAATGGTTTACTTGCGTGTACAGATATATATTTAGGCATCGGTCTGTTTCTAGTCAGTGGACTTCTGGTTGTCCAATGCATTAATCTTTGTGAGAAATAAAGGAGAGAAGTATTATTGCATCATGTTGACCATATTATAACACTGAGCCTTATTTGTAGATGCTATATATAATCCTTTTCCATGTAGGACTATTCTAATATTGTCCCATATAAGTCATATGTACTGTGCTTGTTACTGATGTAACTAATACTAGGACCGAGCATTTATTTGGTCCAAACTAGCTCGCAAGTTGCTATGACCATTGCTCGATATTCTGCTTCTGCACTAAGATCGAGCAACTATATTTTATTTCTTTCTCTTACTGGACACCAAAGTACTGCCTAGTAAAAACACAATATTCAGATGAGAAATGTCTATAAAAAGGATCTACTTGGTCCAAACTAGCTCGCAAGTTGCTATGACCATTGCTCGATATTCTGCTTCTGCACTAAGATCGAGCAACTATATTTTATTTCTTTCTCTTACTGGACACCAAAGTACTGCCTAGTAAAAACACAATATTCAGATGAGAAATGTCTATAAAAAAGGATCACTTGCCCAATAGACATCTGTATATCCAATGATCTGCTCATGACCTCTATCTTCGAAGAGTAGATTTTTTTATGGAATTGACTTTATATATCGTAGAATGCAAGCAATTGCATCCCAATGAATACCACATGGGGAATCCATAAACTAACTTACAACACTCGCAAGAAAAGAAATGTCAAGCCTAGTCACTATGAGATAATTCAACTTACCAATCAATCAAACATGACAGTTTATTAAATCTATGTACCACATCAAACCAACATAGAGTCATTTTTTCGGTTTCTATTATAGTTTGTTCATTCGATTTTTTAAATTTTTTAGTTTTTTCGGTTTCCTTATGATTACATAGTGATTGAAAAAGAGATCTAATATAAAACTTATCTATGTGATATGGTAGAACTTAAAAACGTAAACTAAAAAGAAATTTACAAAATGTCTATAAAATTCACATGAGTACAAAATACTTTCATTGAAATATCAACATTCAATATGCTAAATTTATAAGATTAAGATTACAATCAAATAAAATATTTACAAAGTAGATTGTTAACTTTCGATCTGAAATCTATAACAATATAATTGAACTTCCGATCTGAATACAAAACAAAATAATTATAAATATTTACAAGACTAATTTTAAAATAATATATCTAAACATTGAATACGATAAAGTAATTTAAAATATATTAGCAAAGTAGATTATAATTATGTCACGACCTATACCGTCATGATTGACACCCACACTAACCCTCCGGTGGGAGAACCATTACTACAACCCAACTACACAACTTAACGAAAAGATAGGCATTTAAAGATACGGAAATAGGTTTAAATGACTAAAGAAATACGGAGTTCCCATAAACTCCGGAAGTTTTAAACAAATAACTATCCAAACTAATGGGAAAGTTCAACCCCTAGAACCTGAAAGTCATTGTACCAAAACATCTAAAGTTCAACAGGTCTAAAGAAAATGGGTACAACCCAACTAAACAACTACTAAAGCAATGTCTAAGTCCGAATAAGAATGGACTAAACAAAATACGAAGGATCCATGGCAGCCTGAAAGAACTAGCTCACCCTTGAATCCGGTCTCGATCAGTGATCTCCTAAATGAGGTCTGTCAGTAGCCGCCTGAAGATGCCCTGTACTTAACAAAGAAAGAGCAAGTGCAGTATCAGTACACAATCACAGTGTGCTAGTAGGATCACACGGCTATTCCAGTAAACGCAACATGTATAAGCAGTCACAACAGAGTAAACATGAGATACCCAATGGTTATCATTTTAGAGCAATACACAGTCTTCCAATATCAATCATCATTAGATATGAACGTAATCATTACAAGTAGATACACATCACAATCCAATGGTCCTCTCACGGAACCCAATTCAATGGTCCTCTCATGGAACCCATACCCAAACTGTTAGTGTACCGGAACATGGTACCCGATCCCAATTAGTGTACCAAACGTGACACCCGATCCAATATATGCGCTGTAACGTGGCACCCGATCCAAGTTAGTGTGTAGGAAAGTGACACCCGATCCAATATATGCGCCGTAACGTGGCACTCGATCCAAGTTAGTGTGTCAGAATGTGACACCCGATCCATTCAATACAACCACAATCACAATCACACTCATATGTACATCCTTATAATCATACAATCAAGTGTTGAATCATGGCATACATTTGTTTATTCATACTTATTTCATTAGGTTTGATCAACAATGCTACATTCGTATACATTCATGCTTTACAATGAAGTAATTACCAACATATATCACATAAATATGAAATCACAACCCTCACATACCTCGAATAAAGCTTGAACCCTCCTAAGAAACTTGATTCTTCCCTTTCCGGATTCTTTCCGCTTGTTCTTGGTCTACAAACAATCAATTCAATGCAAGGATCAATAAACGAGACCTAATTACCTGGATTACAATCAAAATCATCAACCCTAGGCCAAACCCATGATCTTAATATGCAACTAGGATTTTTTCCCACCATCCAAATCAGTTCCAAAACCCTCCCCCAACAATAATTACCCAAAAATTTACATTCTACGGATCGAAAAATAGATTCGGGGAGTAAAACCTTTACCTTTAGCTTTGAAAATTGTGAAAAACTATCAAAAAGTCGCTCTAATTCGTCTCCTAACTCTTAAGAACGAAGTTTGCAGAATAATGACGTTTTTGAGGTTTATTTTTGACTTAATTCGCGACTGGCCCGCTATGGAGGCCTCCATCCCGCCACAACGGCCCCACCCTGGAGGGAATAATCCAGCCCTTGCGGATTTCACGAAAATAAAGAGTCGATTTAAGAGTTTCAAACTCCCATTTCACAACACCATTCAACCCATGACACTCAGAAACAACCCGTTCATGCTAAGATCAGTTTCGGGAGTTCCACTCGCCTGAATTCAATTTCGTAAAGTCTTACATGTTCCTTAACGTCTGGGCTATCCACTCATATAATCAAATTTATTATTCAATCTCTCATTAAATATCAGATTTCCCTAAACCTCACCGACTCAGATTTCATCCAAATCTGGACTAGGCTAGGAATCCTAAAGATTCCACAATTTAGACTCATTTAGAGCTCTATTTTAATGGATTTAGTGTCCTCAAATATTTATTTTGTGCCAATAACTGATGTAAATAATTGATTTCCAGGTATTTAGATTGAGGAACAAAACATGAACACTAATGAGCAAAAAGGAACAAGGTAGCTGAAAGAGCGAAGAAAAGAAGGCCTGGTGATGGCCCAACCCATTGGGCGAGTCGCCGAATGGCTATGATGTCGCCTAATGTTCCAGTGTGCCAAGCCCTAAAGTTGAAAATCAAGTCGGCGATAGAAATGAGCAGTCGTCGTGTCGCCTAACGGTTTCGTGATGCAGTGCTAGATCGCCTAAAGTTACAGAACTTAAGGATACTGAAGGCCAAAGCAAAATGGCGTTGGAACTGACTAAAGGGCGGATCGCTGAGTTGATCGGCGATCCCGACTTATTGCGCTGAATGGTCCTTCACAACATATTTTTGGCGACTATAAATACATTTTTAAATTCTTAGTTTAGTATCAAGTGTTCATTTAATAAGTTTTCATAATAGAGTATCAGTTTTTGAGTAAGAACTGAGAGTATTGAGATAATATTTTTCTTAGCTTTGAAGATTTGAAGTTTTCCATTTTTGAGAAATTGGAAGTGGGTCTTTGAGATTCTTCAACCTTGACCTTTGTAAAGACGAAATTAATCTTAACTAGTTGATGAAAACACAATTTGGTAGCGATTTCTATCTTTTTATGATGTCAAGCTAAAAGCCCAATTCTTGGGGTGTGATTATGTGATTATGGGTTGATTTAGCTGCTGGGTATTGTTAATTGATAGTTTAAATGCTGTTAAAAAGTGATTTCAATCAATAATTGTGGGTTAATTTAAAGGGTTGTAGTTGCAAATGCAACTCTACCTTCGTGTTTTTAGCTTGCCTGAGAGAGAGGTTTTAAAACCAAGGTTACTGATTTGATAGTCTGTGGGTATTGGGTTGTCATGGGTTCAGCTCGAGAGAGTGAATCCTAAACCCTTTTCCACACATTTAGCTTGAGAGAGTGAATGGACTAAAGCGTAGGTTGTTCTTAATTGCTGCTTATTGGTGTTTGAGAGAAACCAATTTGACTCGGGGTAAATTGTTCGAGAGAAAGTTTATCCCCACTAAAGTCTAGCTTATTCACTGATTTACAACTATTTACTATCAGTTGCAATCACCCATTTGTCTACCTTAGCCTATAATCCAATCACATCCCAAGAACCCGTCTCTTTACTTGTTCCTTAGTGTTATTTGCTGCTGTTGTAGTTGATAATTAAAACCAAAACCCCTCCTGTTAATTGACATTTGTGTCACCCCTTAACTTGAAGTATGCTTTAATTCGTAAATGTATTTACCTATAATTGACTTGAACATATTTGCACTTTGCTCTTGAATCTTAAGCACGTACCATTCCAAGTGGGATTTGACCCCAACTCACTTAGTTAGGTTATATTACTGACTAACGATCGTTGACACTTAGAATTGGAAGAAGTGTCCTGATACGTGAAATCAAAATGGCGCCGTTGCCGGGTAGTGGTGTTGGTTAAGATTCTTGAGTTAAGTTGAATTTTATTCTTGTTAGTCATAGTTGAACTTACTTAATTTTAGTTTTGTTTTGCTTTTTTGTGTTTTGAAATAGGAAGTATGAGTGTGAACGACAGCAATGGCAGCCAAATAGGCCATCACGATGTCATCGGAAACATCAACGATGTCAACGAGCCTAATGCTAATAACTCCCATCTTATGGACTGAATTGGTGCTATTCGCTTGCCTCATGCCGAAGGGAATGCGGTGTTCCATATCACAAGTACTATGTTGTAGCTCTTGCAATTGAAGGGGTTGTTCGGTGGTTTGGCTCATGAGGATCCCCATGAGCATATTAGAAACTTCGTGGATGTATGCGGACCATTCTCCTTCAAGAACATATCCCAAGAGTCGGTCCGAT